ATTTATGACTTGTAATAGAAAACAAAAGTCTTTCATATTCAAAGTTGATGAATATTAATGTTTTGCAGTGTTAGCTTCATCTGACTTTTGAATATTTTATTTTGTTGTTGGCATTATTTCAGATGAAGGCATTGACAAGGAGACGTTTCTAAACCTTGGAGATTCAATCCGAATTAATTTACTGTTTCCTAAAATTGGACCAAGAGTAAAGTTTAGAAAGAGACTGAAAGATTACTTACAGGTAAGGCAGCTATTTCTTATTCTATATCAGCAGGTCTATTGTTTCATTAATGTGTGATGTGTTTGTTTTGATTCTGTAGATGGAGACATGTCATTTTGTCCAGGAAAAATTAACTGAATGGCATCTCAGTGAGCTGATTCACAGTTTTGAAGGTATTTTATTATAGTTTGGTTTTGGTCCTTCATAAATTACTGCTGTACTGTAATTTCATATTGATATTTTTTTTTGTCTAATTTCAATTTGAATACTTCGTTTTGTTGCAGAGGAGGGTATTGACAAAGAAGCTTTCCTAAGTCTCGAGTCAGGCAGAATCAATACTTTGATTCCAAAAATTGGACCAAGAGTAAAGTTTAAAAGGAGGCTCAGAGAATACTTACAGGTAATGTTTTATTAAATGTTACAAAAAAAATCCTGGAACATAAAGCCATAAAAGTTTAAATATACTGTTTTTTTTAATAAAACAAATGGCGGTTAAGATCAGTAGATTAATAGTGTATGCAATGCATCAGAGTGGAGGTTGTGTGTGAGCGCTGTGACATTCAGAAAAATAACCTCACAATACTCGAGTACAAGATAATGTATTTAATGTAACATTTACTGTGCATGTAATGCATTTCACACTGGCAGGTATCAATATAACAAAACTGATCACACTTCTTTTATTATACGAAATACATCTTAAATTTATCCCTCACCACTGAAGGACTTGAATAGAACACATGATGATTCTGCTGACATGATGGAAACAAGCGCAGAGCAAGAGGACAGTTCAGAAATGGTATGATCTCATTGTGTCTGAACATGGTTCATTATTGAGTGATTAATCTTTGATCATTTTTGTTATTAATGTCATCGTGTTATTATAGAAAAATTTATGTTGTCAGCGTTAATCTCCTTAAGTAAAGTAAGTAAGTTAAATTTTATTTAAATAGTACCTTTCAAGATAAAATCACAAAGTGCTTCACACAAGCAGAAATGGACATACAACCTCAAACAAACAAAATCAACCAAAAGCAAGTTTAAACAGATACATTTTTAACTGCTTTTTAAATGAAATGACTGAGTCCACAGATCTCGAACTCAAAGGGAGCGAGTTCCAGAGTCTGGGAGCCATTGATACAAACGCTCTGTCACTGTTTGTTTTTAACCTTGTATGCTGGAAAACCAGCAAGCCCTGGTCCCTGGTCACAAGACCTCAGGGACCTGCTGGGGCGATAAGGCAGAAGAAGATCACTGATGTAAGTTGGAGCTACACCGTGCAGGGCCCTATAGGTCATGATTATAATCTTAAAATGAACCCTGAACTTGACA